GGGGGGGGGGGGCTTCTGAGCCTGCTGTGACATCACAGGAGTTCAGCCAATGGCTGGGGGCCAGAGAAGCCCAGCGATTGGCTCTTGGTTTGTCATGGACTTTTCCTTCCCTTTCCCAGAGGAGAAACTGAACGGGAGGCAGGAGCTGCTCCCCGGGGTCAGATTTGGGGGGGAGGGCAGAAAGTCACCCCTCCCCAGGGGCTCCAGTTCAGCTTGAGTCTGTGAGGTCAGAAGGGGGAGCGTTGCCCATCAGGGGTGTCCCCCAGGGGTGGGATGCCAATGGTTTTACTGCCAGTTCTGTGGGCATGGCTTGGTGGGCGTGGCAGGGGAAGGAGGCTGCGAAATCTCCAGTCAGAGGTGGGATTGGCCGGTTCTCCAAACTACTCAAAATGGGGAATTCTGGGAGTTGAAGTCCGCCAGGATTAAAGTGACCAAGGTTGGAGACCCCTGTCAAGTGCACATCTCTGTCCGTTATCGTTTCCCTTTGCAACGGGTATCATCCTGCAGAATAAGGTCCCAGTTCTGCTAAGCGAGCGGATTCTCTTCTCTCCTGGACTGCTTTCCTCGGAGGCTGCTGGCTCCGTTCCCAGCCTATCTAAGCAGCGCCACTGCTCAGACCTGCCCAAAATCAGCTTTCAATACACGGTGCATTGTTCTTAGAAACAGCCCCCTGGATGTGGCGGCCAGGGCCGTCTCTCTCACAGCTTAGGTGGGAGGTCGGAGGACGGCAGTGCTTATTTATCTAACAACAACAGCAACATAAAGCTCCTTCAATCTCCGGCTTGCAAAACTGGGGAATTTGTGCTGATTGACAAGCCAGCAAACCCCCCCCCCGGCCCCTTCCTTTGCCCACTCACTCCCAGGGCACCACTGCTCCGCCTCTTGCCCTGTTCGGGTTGGAAGCTCAAGCTTGGAGCAGGTGGGTTGGACCAGCCCTGGGGGGCTCCCTTCATTGGCTCCTTCACTGCTCCCTCCCTGCCCTCTTGCTGCCATTCCCCCACCCCCCCACCCCCCAATTACTGGCCAGAAAGAGGCTTCCTCTCCTTTCTAAAGAACTTTGCAGCGAGTAAAGGAAATGGTGCCACATGCAACTGCACATGTTCTGCCAATTGTCTCCTGGAGTCGGGCAGCCTATACGCTTAAACAAACAAACACGTAAACCAGAAGCAGGTTCCAGATAATTCCCGCTGAGAAGGCTCAGGGACACCGGATGGTGCCCAGAGGGTTCAGATACCAGTCATGCACAGCCAGACTGACTGGCACCGGCCTTGGAGATGCCAGCCTGTGGGGCTCAGGGTCCCGTCCGTGGCTTTTAGTGCCCAAACCAACCCACAGTCGTCCTGCATGTTAGGGCTGCATCTAGATATTGGGCCTCCGCGTGCTGTGGCTCCTTCCAGCGTTGGTTCCCCTTGAGCCTGGGGGTGGGGGGTGGGGGGCACCTTTCCCTGTGGGCCTTCTTTGCTTCCTCCCTTCTGGCTGGAGACCCGTCCTGTGTGGGCAACGGCCTCTCCTCGGTGCCCTGCTGGGACGAGGGGCTTCTTTCTGGAGGGGGCTTTTTTCCTCAGGAGGGTCAGCTGGAGGCCAAGTCAGAAAGGGCCCATCGGAGGGGAACCTTCAGGAGCTGCTGGCACCTGAAGAGACCAAACCAGAGACCCCAAATACGTCTATTCTAGGGAGATCGTCTCAGCCAGCCGTAACTCTGGGCCTTCTGGCTTCCAGTCCCCTCCCCAACTTCCCTAGAGGGTGGGCTGCCTGCCCCCCACACCCCACGTGTGAGCACCTCGCATCCGGCTCACCCTGAGAGGGAAAGGCCTGCTGGAGAGGCGGGTGGGGGGGCTCTGTGCAAGGTCTATTGCAGTGCAGCCTCCTAGCTGGGATGGCGAATCTATGCCACACGTGCCAGAAGTGGCACGCAGAGCCATCTCTCTGGACATGCCAGCCGTCTCCCGTTGCTCTTCCGGTTCTGGCGAACCGGCCATCTGGTCTTAACATGTGTGGAAGCGCCGGAAGAGCAGCCACCTGGTGCGCATGCATGTGCCAGGAAGGTGATCTTCCGGTTTCCTGCATGCGCACTGGCCACCTGGTCTTCCAGTTTCTGGCGCAGCTGGTCTTCGCGTGTGCATGCTTGCTAGAAACTGGACGCTGATGTGCATGTGCGTGCACACATGTGCTCTCCCGTTTCGGCACTTGTACAGAAAGGTTTCACCAACACTGTCCTAGGACTTTCCCTGGCTGCTCCGGAGGCCCTTCGGTTGGCTTGGAGTGAGCCAGGGCTCCCAAGTGGAAGATCCCCACAGCCCAGGAAGGGTCTCCCCATTGTTGCTTGGGTCCCCTTCTGGAAGAGCAGAGGGTTACCGGGGTGGTGGTGGTGGTTTTACCCCTTCCTCACCAGGGGCGAAGAGCAGCTGGCAGTGGAGGCTCACCCAGAGCCTGGCTTGGGCCTCTGGGCCTCTGGGTGTCCCTGGGTGTGCACTCAAATCGAGTTGGACGCCCAACTTCTGGCTGTTTGGAGCCGTGTGGTGGGCAGCAGGGGACTGGAGGGCCACCGGGCCCTGGTTCCTTGCCATGGGCCATGCTGGTGGGATGGATGGCTGCTAGGGGCCCCCACTGGGTCCTCGCCCTGGGCACCCTGGCGTGGCACGAGTGGGAGAGGAAGGCTGCTGGCGCCTGGTTGGGGGGGAAGAAGGAAGCAAAGTGGCGCCAGGCTGGGCCAAAAGGGGAACCCCTTGCGGTTGTGGGGGTGTCCCCTCCGGAGGCTCTGACTCAGCAGCTGCTCCAGGGAGCATCAGGGCAAGTTGGGCAGAAACGCTGCTCCCCCCCCCCCCAGTGTCCTTCTCTGTCTCCTCCAGTGCAACATCTCCCCAAGCCCCCTTCGCCCCCTCCCCGGAAAGGCCTTCCTTCCTGGGAACTTTTGTGGGGTGACAGATGCAGGGAGGGTGGGAGTGGAGATATCAGAGGGGAGGGGGCCGGGGAGGGGGCCTAGTCCGGCAGGCCGAGGCGTTTCCCTTCCTCTTCAGTGGCAGGAAGGAACCGAGTCTCACTTCCCAAACAGGCACAGGAGCCAGGAGATCAGATTCTGCTGAGGGCGGCATTTTCCTCCGAGGGAGAACCGGGCAGTGAAAAAAGATCACGAGACCCGTTGGATCTGGGGAAATTCATTCCTTGGGCAAAAGGTGAATGTGGAGATGCAGAAACACCTTAGAGCCACGGTGGCGCAGTGCTCAGAATACAGGACTGCAGGCTATACTTCTGCTGCCTGCCGGCTGCCTGCAGTTTGGCAGTTCGAATCCCACCAGGCTCCAGGTTGACTCAGCCTCCCGTCCTTCCGAGGTGCGTAAAAGGAGGACCCGGATGGTTGGGGGAAAGAGGCTGGCTCTGGAAATAGTGGCTAGAGAGGGCTAGAAAGCGCCGTGAAGCGGCATGGAAGTATAAGGGCTATTGCTATTAGAAGGAAGTGCTTGAAAAGGTGCCAACTGCCCACAGGAAAATGAAGAATGGGGCCGGCGCAGAATTGGCAGGAAGCATCCGCCCTCCCCAATTTGCAGGAGCAAAATGAAATGGATGCCCCTCCCCAGCCTTAGCCCATTCGGAAGTCACTCCTCCAGGGACGTGTGTGTGTGTGTGTGTGTGTGTGTGTGTGTGTGTGTGTGTGTGTGTGTGTCTGACGCTTTTGCAAAAGGCCTCCCTTCTGAGGTGGGCTTTCTGCGCTGCCATTCAGGCTGGCCCGCTGGCTCCTGAAATGGGGAAGGGGGGGGGGGGGCAACCCCCCCCCCCGCTGGGGCAGGGGCCCTGGGGAGATTTTGGGTTTCGGGGTTTCTAATCCCCGCCCCCCTTTCCTGCCCCCCCCCCCCCCCACAGCTCAACTCCCCCCTGAACCCCGTGAGCAGCACAGAAGACATCAAGCCCCCCCTGGGCATCAATGGGGTACTCAAAGTGCCAATGCACTCTTCCTCCGCCATGCCCGCCTTCACCAAGCACATCTGCGCCATCTGTGGAGACCGCTCCTCAGGTAAGGCCAACCTTGCCCTGTTCCTAGCTGGCCTCTAACTGCCCTGCCCAGGTCTCTGCTCCCAGTTGGTCCTTGGCTGCCCGCTTGGCAGGGAGGGCGTTTCCCACAAGGGGGCCTGACTAAGAGGGGCTCCCTCCGTCACAAAAGGCCCCGGGCTCTTCCTGCCTGGGGGAATGCCAAGATGGGCAGCTGAATCTCTCCCTTTCCCACCCCCTGCCCCAGATTCTGGGGCAGAGAGGCTGGTGGTGCCCTCCCTCTGTGTGGACGTCACTCCTGTCCCCTTAACCTTCCTGGGTAGCAAGAGGGCTCCTCTGAGAAAGGAACAGGCTGGCACTTGCCACCCCTGCACCAGAGGGCCAGCCAGGGGCTGAAGCAATGCGTTTCTTGGAGGCAGCCGTCCCGCCTCCCCTTCCCACTGGGCCCCGGTGCCAAGCGGGGCCTCCTTCCTCCCCTACCAGCCCTGCCTGTCTTCTCCCCCACCCTCCAGGCAAGCATTACGGGGTGTACAGCTGCGAGGGCTGCAAGGGCTTCTTCAAGCGGACGGTGCGCAAGGACCTGACCTACACTTGCCGGGACAACAAGGATTGCCTGATCGACAAGCGCCAGCGGAACCGGTGCCAGTACTGCCGCTACCAGAAGTGCCTGGCGATGGGCATGAAGAGGGAAGGTGAGGCCGGGAGAGCTCAGACCGCGGAAGGGCTAGATGAGAAGGGGATTTGGAGGTCATCTAGACCAGCTTCCTCTCAATGGGACAGTTGTATTGTTTTCACATTTATCCATCGGCCGTGCAGAATCAGTCAAGCCCCCCCTTTGCTCAGGCATTGCCTTGTTCCTCGCTTGTGTGCGGTTTGGTGTAACTGTCAGGCCTGCTCCACTCAGGATCCCTAGGCAGGAAAGACCCTCGACTCCATCTGGTTGAAGTGGCAGGTTCTTTTGCTGAGGATTAGTGGTCGCAGTGAAAGCCAGGCTAGACCGGAATATTCCCGCATCAAGGCTACACTTTTCCCTTTTCCACGGCCTTCCCCCTTTGTCCCTTTCATTGGTATCCAGGAGCAAGCTGCTCAGAGGTTTTGGGAACCGCTTAGCTATTTTGGCAGGGTACAATCGGTACAATTTCTCACTCTGCTCCCAGGCCAGGTGTCCTTGGTGGCTGGTTCAGCCCGGTGCAGTTTGATGGAGGGGAGTCCACTTCGTTCTTGGTAACATGCAGGTCAGACCGAGAACTGCCATGCTTGACCCAGGACGGTGAGGGAGCCCTGCATTCTCGGGAAAGGGGAGGCCAGGAATAGCAGAGTTCATTGCCAGCTTAATGCAAAACAATTCCCATCCCTCGTTTTACTCCTCACAACTCTACTTTTCTCCACAATTTCATTTTGCACCAGCGTCCATCCCATGACCAGAGGACATAGTATTTTGGGGTCCCTCCCATTCTCCTTGAAATACTCCGATGTGATCATAAGGACCAGACACTTAGGGGTTTTATATATATATATATAAGTCTGCCTGAGATTGTGATGAAGTGGGTTTCATACTTTGGAATTCCAGTTTTGGCACCGTCTTTTCTCCTCTTCACGTCCTCCTTGAAAGCTACCCAGGAAGCGGCCCCCTTGTCTGGGTTGGGCTGAGAAGAAGGCCGGCCCTGGTCGCCCTGTCGCCTAGTGCCAGTCAAGTCAACGGGCACATGCCTGTCTCCTGGGCTTGGGGTGGTCCCGATTCCCCCACCCTATGGGACATTCCTCCTCTCTCCATGGCCTCTTCTAGAATTTCTGACTGGGGCGCAGGGGTGGGAAATAGGAGACCATTCAGACGGGCGGGGGGGGGGGGGGGAGGGGAGGTGTTCAGAGTTTTGCAGTGTAAATTCAGTGCCAGAAAAGTAAACACAGATGGCAGAAGATTCATTTAACTTCTTTATAAACACATAAAGTAAATGGAGCAAACTCAAACAGAAGCAGACACGTTAGGGGTTCAGAGCAGAACAGCAGCAACTCAAGAGCTCAGTTTCACTTTAGGTCAACAGGCAAGCAAGATACACAGCAGAGGAGAGAAGCAGTGTCATCTTCAATAGGCAGACTCAGAGCTCAACAGAGCTTAATATGGAGCCACGCCTAGGCTCCTTGCAGTTTCAGTTTCCAAACTGTCCTCATTGGCTGACTTAGTTGCAATGCCTATTCATTGGCTGACCTTGTTACCATTTTCCATTCCTGTTAATGAATATACTCTGACAGGGTGAACCCCAAGAGAAAACTGGAATTGGGGCGAGAGGGCTCCTCTGGGAACCCCGCCTGCCTTTGGGGCAGCAGCGAGCCCTGGCAGTCCCCCCCTTGCAGGTGTGGGGCAATCACCTGGGGTGGCAGGTGGCTTCACTTCTGGACCAAAGTCCCCAGAAGCAAGAGACATCCCAGGCAGGAGAGGAGAGGAATGCCCCCGCTGTTCTCCGGCCACTCCTCTTCAAGATAGTCTGCCTCTGCAAGGGGAGGTTCCCTCCGGACAGCACCCTTCCTTACCTGCATCAGGCTCAGGTAAAAGAGAACCGTCTGCCAAGCAAGCTATTCTCGGGAGCAATTTTTCATTTCCTTCACCGGAAGTAGGAATCGTGGTAAATAAAAAGGCAGCCAATTGTTCAGAAACAAAACGCGGGTGTGGGGGTGTGTGAGTGTGTGATCATAATGGCCCTACGAAGAGATGGGAGGTTGGGTGGGTGGAGGGTGGGGTCTCCCTTGCTTCCTGCCCCTTTGTTTGGAAGGAGGTGCAGAGGAATGGCGGCCTCGTTTCGGGATCTTGTGGGGTTTGGTTCAGAGAGCAGGCCGTTGCTTCCTGCCTTGGGCTCAGCCCTGGGGCCACGCAGTGGCCTTCGTCTTCCGGGGAAGGCATGCAACGTTGGGTGCCCCCCCCCGCCCCCCCAATACACACCCATGGCTGCCAGCTCCCTCGGAGCCCCCCCTCCTGGGCAGGAGTCTCCAACCGTGGCAACTTTAAGCCTGGTGGACTTCAACTTCCAGATTCTGCTTAAAGTAGCCAAGGTTGGAGACTCCTGGGGTCCCTAGCCAGGCCGCCCTTGCCCTCTGAAAGCTTTCCTTGCCGATTAAGATTGGGGGTGGAGAAGAGGTCTTGACCTTCCCTTTTAATGAATTGTTTAAGCCGTAGGAAGCCACCGACTTCTTTTAATGGCTCAGGGTGCTTTCAGCTACCTAACTGGAACGTCAGAGGTGAAATTACAGCCAAGGTCCCGGTTTTAAATCACTTCCACGTGACGTAATTAAGAGGCCTGGGCTCTGAGCATCCTCCCCATGGCTAGTCAGCTTGTTGCAGGCTGAGGCTGCCCAGTGTTGGTGGAGCTGCAAGCAGTTGAACAACCGGTTCTATGAGCGCATGCGCAGCATTCAACCAAACCCCCATTTGAGCCTCTCTCCAGCTCACCTTCTAGCCTTCCCCAGTAAGTAGAACAGCTGAGGCGTGGTGACCCACTGTGCAAAAGACGGTTGCTCGTACCGGTTAGCTAGAACCACCCCGAACCAGCAGCAGCCCCCATGGAGAGCGGAAGTCGCCAGAGAAGGGGAGCTGTGGGCACAACAGGACCTGCCAGGCACCTCGGGCAGATACGGGCAGGAAGGCTGAGCTCCCTGCGGTCTTTGGGTGGCTGGTGCCCAAGTCACCCAAACTGGGTCTCCCTCCTCCAGGTGGGAGCCAGGTGGTTTCTCAGCCTTGGCCCCCGTCCAGGATCCTGCAGGCCCAGGCTGCCCCCTGGCACTCTGCAGGGGTGATGTGACCTCACCTGGGCCATATCCAGGCCTAGGTCCAGGTTGAGGACAGGGAATTTCTGTGCGGTGGCCTGTGGGAGATGGGGCCCATTGAATTGGGGCATTGTTGCCTTTTTTAAGGGGGCAGGAAATGCTGACCAGGGCTGCTGGGAGCATTAATGCTGCGCTGTTTGTGGGCAAAGCCTTTAAACGGCCTTAAGTAGCCCATCCCGGCAGGGATCTAGCCTCTGGGCAGTGGCATTCCAGAAGCTTCTTCACTGTTGGACTGTGTGATGGACTCTGGAGGAATGGGTCCGGCCCAAGCTGTGTGAAGTAGCACCCAGGCTGCATCAACCAGAATCACAAAAGACAGGGTCCCTTGGACAGCTCTCCACGGAAGCCACACGGCTCCACAGAAGAGGTAGCGATGCCATGATTGTGCCTGCGCACCTCCCCCACTGGCCACTCGTTAAAAGGGCAACCTGCCCTTGAGTCACCTTTTCTCCAGGTGAGACGAATGCCGCTCCCTTCTTGTGTTCCGGTTCCCATCATCCTCGCTGTGGCTGCTGCTGCTGCTCTCCAGACTCAAGCGTGGAGGCCAGAGCGGTGGTTTGCGCTTCTCCAGATTCTGTGGCTGGCTGGGGAGGAGGGCTTCCTTCTACGAGGCTTTCTGGGGCTTCCAGAAGTTGCATATAAATTCGGCCTGGGTGTTCTGCTCTCGGCCTTGAGCCCTGGAGATCTGAATTCATTTGAGGTCAAGAGACACTCCCTGCTCAGGTCTCTGAGATGCCCCAGCTGGGATCCTGTTCCTTCTGCTCCCCCCGCCCCCCCATTCTTAATTTCCCAGGGGACCACTTATCCTCTCCCCAGAGGAGATTGCCTGCCCTCCCCTGCCCGGAGCAGCGGGCTTCGGCTTGTTTTCTGTTGTTCGTTGGCTGCCTTCCCTGAGTGTCTGACACGCTGATTCTTTCCCTTCTGGGCTCCACACATCTCAGAAACTCCTCCTGCTCTCCTCAACGGTGCCTGAGAACCGCCGTGGCTTCTGGGCACTGTCGTTTCTTCTGCCCTTCCTTGGCAGCTTTCCCTGCTTTGCCCGTCTCTGGTTTCTGCACCAAGAAACCAGAGGTGACCAGGGTAGAAGGAAGCCAGCACCCAGCACGGTCAGCCCTCAGTGGAAAGGCCTGGAGGGGCCTTCCAGAAGAACGGGACAAATCCCTCGGCAAGCCCTCAAATCTGGCAAAAACGCTAGCGAATGCCATCGTTCTGGACGGCTCAGAATACTGGCATTGGCTGGCATTGCCCCCTCTGATGAGAAAAGCGCTAAGGAGTGCCCGCGGCCTTTGAGAAGGCTGCCGTTTGCTAGCTTTTTCCATCCCAAAGGGGAAACGCTAGCGAGTGCCAGCTTTTCTGCTCCCCCCCCCCCCC